ATTCAAGATCGATTAAATCGATTTTTTTACCCAGCCCTAGTCAACATAATTATAGAGTGATTTATTTTCAACTTAAAATATCTTCAAACTAACGAAATATAAAGTTATTAGTGAAGAAAACCCATCTGGATAACAGCAGACTGACTGCTCGTAAAATATACGACAGGTCTGGACCACTCGTGAATTTTGTTCGTTTCTGAAAAAAATCTTAGAATACGACAACGTTGGTGAATGCCACAAATTCTCCCAAATCACTCGTACGCACAACTTAAGAACAAATCTGTGCGTACGAACGGTTCTTGCATGAGGCCCATTGCCCATGGCGGCAGGCCTCTGCAGGGATGAGTTTTCTGACTGGGTACACTGGTCACAGTTGAAGGAAAGATGGAGGAAGATATAAATCAACAACTGCTAATCGTTTGGCATCGACCCAATTCAAGATGGCCACCACAGCAAATCCACCTTAGCAAACACACAACTGTCTCTACCTCAGTCAGATTTACAGATATAGAGGTAACATTTGGTGTGGTATTAGCTGGGAGTCGTTCACAACATATGCTCTGTAGTAACATCTTGCATAATGTTAATGGAGCTAATGTATCATCATCATTGACAYAAACATGCATTATTTTAAGGAAACAGATTTTAATTTAAGAGCTCCCCCCTGCTTAACTTCATTAGTCTGCAATACTGTATTTTGTCAGAGTTTGAGTGAAAACTGAAAAACATCGTGTTGTTTAAAAAAAAAGATTTAGACAGACGATAGGGAAGAGAAGTTCGGCCTTACCATTGTTCCTTCACTCTTGCTCCGTGCGACTTCCCTCTCCAGGCGAGCCACAGCCAGCTTTTCCCTAAACAAACGGTAGAGAAAGACAGATTAGGAGTGAGTCAGCATGTGATCATTTCCCAGCGCTGCAAAAGAAAGAGGCACCGGCGAATGTTTACGGCGAACATGTCAACACAAAAAGAAAAAAAAACCCAATAAAATAGCAGAGGTTTCCGCAAGAATCTCATTCATTTATAGTCAAAATCGGTCGCAGGGAGTTCGTTTATTCGCCGTGATATTTGATATGGAAGCAAACAAAACTTTCATAAACAGGGAAAGCCACACAAGCCTGGAAGGAAATCAGCTCATACACACGCACGCGTGTGCGCGCTCGCACACACACACACACATAGGGGAGACAAATTTGTCCAGCAACTACACAAAACAGGGCTCGCAGTTCTGTCCAGACAAAAATAGCCCAAGAGGAAACAAAAAGCAGGGCATCCTCACACCAGACTTTACACACACTCCTAACAATTCCCCACGCCCTCCTGTCTTACACACAAACATGTGCACGCGAACCGGGCAAAACAAAGAAATTGACTGTTCAATCCTTTTCCCACGTGAGAGCATTCCAGACTGTAATGGGATAAATCTTGGCACTCAACCTCAGGATAATAAAGAAGCTTATTTCTTTCTTTTTTTTTTTAAACTCCCCCTCCTTCCACAGCTCCAAGACAAGCTCGTCATCCTGGAAGTGGGTTTTTATTCCTCTTTTGTGGGGAAACAACAACAATAACAACTGGGGGGAAAAAACAGTAGATAGAAAATGGGGCAGAGGATCAAAAACATCTCCTCTGGCATCGCCTGAAAAATCATTCACACTGATGTCAAAGACGTTTCAAGTGTCAAAAATCCACAAAGTTTGCTGCATTGTGGACTGCATGATCTCAAGTCCTGCAGGTACAGACGACCGTCTCGTCATCAAAAAAACATTTAAACATCAAAACATGAGTGTGTTTTCCTCTAAAAGGACAGAAAATATACTCATTATAAATAGCAGAGAATTAGCAGAATTCTTCACATTTGACCTAATTTACAAGAGTCACTCAGCAAARTATTTATAGGAGTAAATATTTCTTGATGTCAGTTGTGCGAGAGTTATAAACTAAGATCATCTTACGGTGGGATGTGGCAGAGTTATCCCCATTTTGGTCAAACATTGAAAATAACGTTAAGTACAAGCATCATACTGAGACCTTGAATGATCTGTTTCTACTTTGGGGATGAGGGGATCCCTGTCCTTTACTACCACAACAAATTCTAGCTCAACTTATGTAAAACCGTCTGAGTTAAAGCCATATTTGTGTTATTAAAATTCAGTTGGCTGTGGCAGCCACCTTTAAWCAAATTTACTCCAAAMGGTAATCAGTTGTAGATATACATCCAGCAATTACTTCCTGATAGTTTCATTGATATACATTCAGTGATTCATGAGATATTTTGCTAACAAACTTCAATAAATTACCTGCTTTGGATAGCTCTTAGAACAGCAGTTTCTTAAAGCAGGTCTCATCTCAGAAATGTCACAGCATTGTTGTATTTGTCGTTAATTTTACATCACATAAGTATTTGCAAAGAATTGGATGATTAGTTGCAAGTGCTAATAGCAGCAGCAGCCAGCTGTAGCACTTCTGCTGCGGTAAAAAAAAATCATAGAAGTGTTTACTTGAACGGCAATAAACTCTTAGTGGTCCGAGTTGTTTTAAGAGCTGTCGGGATTTAAATAAACGTCTCCAAAATGCAGCCATTCAAAGAGCTATCTGTATCAGGTAAGATATTATTTGTTCACAACTTCAAAAGATTCAAACTTCCCCTGTTTTGCACATGCAGCAAAACCRGAGAACCTGAGCTGAAAGAGAGAGACGCCCACCCAGTCCAGATACGGGGCCTTTAAAGGCTGCTTATCCAGCAGACAGACACAAGCAATCACAGCCACCTGCACATTTTTCACATTTTTTTCAGCAGAGCAGACACCCAAAGCCAACCCCCACCCCCCACCCCCCACCCCAGAATAGCTCATGAGTAAGTCTTCTTGGCTCCGTTTGACAACAAGACATCATTGTTTCTGAGTAGCCTACCTGTGGGGGGAAAACTCACCAGACGTTTGGCTGACAGATAAGTCTAGACTTAAAAAAAAAAAAAGAAAAAATGCCGCAGCCTCACGTTGTTGCCGCTGCTCTCTGGGTTTGTGTTAGATTTGCTGCCGTGCTCCTTCTAATGGGACCGGACTAGAATAAAGCAAAGCGAACCGGGCACCCCCAGTCGTGAAACATACTCCTTCTGGTGACGAATCCAGGAGGAAGGATAAGGTGTGTGTGTGTGTGAGAGATGTTTGTGCATTTATGTGTGCACAAATAGTGCATGTGTCACGTTACAAAGGCACAAACCTGAGTGTGAAAGTGKGAACGCTCCACACCTGAGTCTGACTCACGCACTCATGTTCAAGTTGTCCTGTTCATTCATTGGTACGGTTCATGCAGTCTAATGCTGCGTTCACACAGAATGCAATTTGGGCRTCAAAAACGTGTCCAATGCTTCAGGTTGGATGCTTGTGCACTTTAAGGTCAGATCGAATCTTTCTGCTTTTCAGCAGATAAATGCTATGACTTTCAAAATATTTTACTTTATTTACAACAGCTCCCCCTTGAAATAAATTAAAATTCAATCAATGCTGGTAAAAACGTAATTTTTCTTGAAATCTACTTAGCAAACCTRTTGTTTTGTCTTTAGCTACTTTTAGCTTTTAGCTAACCTTTAGATACTTTTGGAGTCCAGTTCGCCTGCTGCCACGCCACTTTAGCAACTACCTTTATGCTACATTTAGTTAGCGTTTTTATACACATTCAAAAAACTGCTTTTGCCCTCTMGCTAGCCTTTGCTACTTTTAGCTACTTTTCTGCTWRTTTTAGTTTTACTTTTTCTTTTGCTGTATTTCAATTGTAGACAGCTTTCAGATCATTTTAGCTTTAGCTAGACTTTTTCTTGTTGTAGTCTTTAGTTAACGGTTGGCAGTTTTTTTCTAAATTTAGCTGGCCTCTTCCTACTTTTAATTTTTGGTTAACATGTTGCTGTTTTTAAGCCTTTAAGTTAGTTTTCTGTCACTTTTAGCTCATTCTTTTGCTTCAAGATCATCTTTGACATCAAAAAGAAAAAATAAGTAGGTCCTCTGGATGGGTTCTTCTTTAGTGAAATGTTTCGTCTCTCCTCCAAGAGACTTCTTCAGTCTGACGAGTTTCAGGTGAACTAGGTCTTATAAGCACTGCCTCCACATGGACAAACAGGTTAGTCACATGCAAAAGAGGGCCATCGACTAACAATGGGCTTGATTACCTTGTTAGGCGATGGCCCTCTTTTGCATGTGACTAACCTGTTTGTCCACCAAGCGTTTCTCCTTCTGCACTCTTCCCGACTACTTGTCCGCTGGTTTGGCACCGTACTGCCATCTGTCGGTGACGGAAGAACAGCGATAACATGAACGTCAACTATGTTTTCACACAGCGCGTGACCCAGGAGCGCGCCCACTCCGCAGAGCTTGCGCAACAACCCAAAGCGCGACTAAAACCCAGCCTTTAGTTTTTCTTTTTGATTTTTTCTACCTGGATTACTGAGATGCATCATCTTTAACACTTTCAGCTAGCTTTTTGTTGCCCTTAGCTGCGTTTAGTCTAGCTAGCCTTTTGCTACTTTTAGCTATCTTTTTGGTTTATAACAAGCGTTTTCCAACTTATAGCTAAACTTTTGCATTCCGCATTTTTAGATTTGACAACTCAGTTTGAGCTTTTTCAGGAAATTTCAGCAAAGTAATTAATTCTCTGCATTTTCTCAGAAAACATACATTATTTCCAGTTCCACAGTGGGTCTCTTTCTGTTACCACATACTGTACACATCATCACTCCACTTTAAGAGGGGGAAGAAAAAAGAAACAATCTGGAACTTCTCACAGGAGATTTTGTTTTTTTAACCGGACCACGCCTGGCATTCCTCCAGTCTGTGTTATGGCTGAGCATCAGCCCTGTAAGGGGTTAAGTTTCAGGCCACTTATGAGCACGCATGTTCCAGGAGCRGTCGAGCATGAGCCAACTGCGCCCCGAGAAAAATCGTCGCCAAATATAGAGCAATTTGACGTTCTGTGTTAAACATAATTACAGTAATTGGCACCAGCAGCAGTCAAAACAGTAATCTGGTGCAAAACGCTTACTGATGACATCCAACTGCTGCCTGTGGGGAGTAATATTCACGCACACGAATGGAAATAAAACCCTTGTTTCAATGTATGTTGATGCATGTAATGACATGTTACGTTGAATATGTTACACGCGTTTCAATCTCAGTCCAGATTCTTTCTTTATTTTGGCCACAATTCCCTTCACAAACCTGTACCAGCTGTGTAAACTGGCCCTAAAATCATCAGACGGRGCAACAAGGTTATGTCAAGAAGTTTATCTCCAGAAATCTCTATTGYAGAAGATTGTCCTTTAGTCGTGTTTTCATTTCTTAAACAGCTGAGGTCAGACGCTAACATACACCGACTCATGGGCATGAAAGATGTTTTAATTTGGGGCTTTTAGKGATTTATTGGAACCGGAGTAGAAAGATTATACAATGTACCACTTCAGTGAATTTTAAAAACCAAGTTTGGTTGCACCAGTTTGAATTTACTGTGGATATTCTTTCTATTATAGCATTGATTTTTGATTAAATATCCCTTAGGGTGTTTTCTCATTGGACTGTGACTTTTGGAGACTAATTGGCAAAAAAAGGGCACGCTTTTATTGCAGTATCACTGAATTCTGTGGGTTAGTGACTAGTGAGCTGTTATGCCACATTTTAAGCTGACAAAACAAAAATGGAAATAATATTCCCTTTTTGTGAACTTGGCTCGCCAAACAATATTCCAGACCGTTAACATAATTTTGTTTTCCACCTCTATGGACACCATTTACTGGCATACACGTAAGAATTGATATCAAGTAGATTTAAAACAGTTTAGAATTAATATTATTTTTTCTCGTTGGCTGTGT